CTGGTTAGTAGGTCTACAGAATCCTCTAAAAACTAAACCAAAGACCTGTTTTTTTTTGCTCATCAGTTTTGGTTTTTAGGTACTTAAGACGAAAAATTTTAGAAATTTTTTCTAAAATTTAGAAAAACTCAAACTGAAAAATTTTTTTTTTTCTTTCTCCGATTTTGTGATTATCCCCCTCCTGCTTTTAGCTCTTCGCGCCGCCCCTGATAGGTTCTAATAACTTGAGCGAGGGTTCGGCTAGATTTAACACTTTCCAATTCTCCTTTTTCGAAGATATAGAAGTCCGTAAAAGCAGCGATCTATCATTTGTGAATTAACATGAGTCTATGTTGTTTTCATCAATTTTGTTGATCGAAGGTGATTTTGTTGAGATAAAATGCATTTTTTATGATTAACGGAATGTGGTTGATTACTTTCATGAATAAATAGTTAGAGTTGTTCATGATTAATATCCGTGCAACAGTTAGCCAAATTATATAGCATTTACATTTAGCTTATTATGGCTAATGTTGACAACCTTGCTGGAATAATGAGTTAATACAAGAAACAACACTAAAGAGTATCGTCTTTCATGCCATAATTAGGTAATATTACACAATAGTACTATTCATGCCTCAAAACGTATTTTATAATCTCCATGTTCCTACATAGCGATTTAATAAGATACATTTATTATGCTTTTACGATCGACAACAGTTAAGTTTATTGCCTGAAATATAGAGATCGAAGGACACATTCATTTTTACTTGTAACAGATGTACAACATATAGAAGGAAAAATACAGATAAATATATTCTGTGAATGCCAGAGCTCCCGTTCCTTAGAGTTTCGTACTCAAGGAACATAACCTATAATATAATTTGTTGTTATTCATTTTCAGGAACATTAGAACATTTAAACACCATTTTGTTTTCCTTCTGTAGAAACTTGCTATCCATTTTGAGTTTCTAATAACCCGAAACTTGATGTAGGTTCTTGTTTTCAGAAATTCAGGAGCAGTTTCGGATTAATAGAAGTTTTGGAAGTCCCAGGTGTCCGTGAACTCCACTGAATTTCTAGAAATCCGTTTATCATACTGATTTTCGCTCTTATGTGACAGAGATAAGTCGAAAGTAAATGTACTTGTATATGCTGTATTTATACTTGCACTATATTTGCTAGCAGGTATTTTACCTAAGCCACGAACGAGGTTGCTAAATAGGGTATTAATTTATATATTTACTTCGTCAAAATAAAGATGAATAATATTTTTATCTTTATAAAATGAAAGCTCGACATGATGACAGAATCAACACCTAAGAAACTTAAAGGAGATGAAAATGATGATAATATCGATGCTGCTGACGATTTGCAGATGGTCACTATCCCTACGGATGAAGGATTGCAGACAAAGCGGTTTGATTATTTACGTAAGTTTTGTAGCTTTCATGTGCCCGTGAGCTCGATTTTATTCAATGACTATATCTTGTGTAGATAGAAAGAATACATAGAATAAAAAAAAGAGAACTTGGATAAAACCACACAAATGAAGAGAACAGAAGGAAACACGTGCGTATACATTTACAGGGTAACAGCACTACGAAAAAATTGCTAAAATATATGACAGGATAGCCCACAAGACGTTTACACTGCGAGACATTATCATTGTAGAGGATGCAACATTATTCCGAGCGACATATAAATATGATAAATTTTATTTTAGCTGACATGGACACTCATCGCATGGACTCAAATGATATGTTGAAGTTATTGATGGACTCTACGACTACAAGTATGCACTGTTATCTTAGGATGCAACATTATCCCGAGCGGCATATAAATATGACACATTTTATTTTAGATGAAATGGACACTCATTGCATGGACTCAAATGATATAATGAAATTAGTAATGCGCTCTAAGACTACAAGTATGTACTGTTATCTTAAAATCTATTTCAGTGTTGATCAGTAATTTTGCTAACAGCTACTCAAAACGGATGTATAGCAGAAATGTGGATCTGAGTGTTAAAACTGGATGAAAAACAGGAAACCGATCCGGTCCATCCGATAAATTAGCTTACTAAAAATGCACTTCAAATTGATAAAAAGCCAAAAAAAACCGATGAAAAACTAATTCAAACCGTTGAAAGATCGATGTATATAATATATGTATGTGCTAGTAATGAAGTAGCTTGAAAGTATATATTAGAGACATTTAAAAGAATGAGTTTGATAAAGCCACTGTTGAACAAGTGACGTAAGGAATATCTATCTCGAACTCAGTTTATTTGTTTTGGAAAGAAATATATGACATCTTGATTTTTATAGCGAAAAATAGGCTCAATGTGGAGTTTTTCACATAATTATTGATGAAACTGATTGTCTTTCATCATAAATATTAGAATTATCGCATATAGCTAGATTAAAATTTCGTGCATAATAATATGGGCAAAAACTTCAATGAATAAATGTGGTATCTGAGCATCAAATTTTACTGCAATGTGCTAAAATGGTACACAAACGGTGCTTTGGTACGAAGAAGATGCCGAGGCTTCAAGTCTGCATTTTCTTCCTTAGAAAAACTTCTTTCTTTTTTTTCTTATTGTGATTGTGAGTTAATGACAATACATTTTGTATTACTTATTATAGATTCATTAAGCGATGTTCGTCTTAACACGCTAAGCTGGCTAATAAACATCGCCCAGAGACAAAAAATACAATACATGAGTGCTATAGCACAGAAAGGTCAAACTAAGTAAGAACAATAGCTATTTATATGCTTTGTAATTCTGACTATTCATAAGCTACAAGACTTTGCTTTTAGGCAAGTAGTGGATGGTGGTGTTTACCTGCAAGGTTCTATAAAGACGTCATATCCTAAAATACGTGTAAGAACACTATCCAGTACTTCAAACTCATTCTCTGTAATTTCTTGAAATGTTTTCAGCTTGACATACCTAAGGGTGATGAATCTCGGGAATGGTCTATTTATCTTTATATTTTGACTGAATGTCTTGATCACGCAACTTATTATATTCATCCAAACAAAGCAATATTTAACAGCTCCTTCAATAACTTGAATCAAGACGACGCTGTCGAGAATGATAACTGTTTATGTAATCCACATGTTGTGAAATTAACGGAACACGATATCATCAATAAAACCTTTGAGTAAGTATCGCGTAATTCCAAAAATTAGCAAATGCACTAAAATTATCAATGTTTATTTAGGATTAAAGTCAAAGTAATTACCAAAAAAAATCAATTTCCAAAGAAAAACTTACGATTAACCAAATTTCATACGGAAGAACCATTCCAGAATGTACACAGACAATCACCGTGCATTACTGAAACTTTCGATGATTTTCGGGGAAATTTCACAGATTTTCGCGGAAATTTGACAAATTTTCACTTAGCATGCGTTTTAACACGTGATAATGAAACATATGGACTTTGTATATCTGATCTAGTGACAACATACCAATGTAAGTTTTACGGAGGCATTTTGTTTATGTCCATAGTTGATTTTTAATGGCTTATCTATTAGATACAAAATGGCAGCCGAAGATAGTATCGACAAAAAGAAAGTGGAGTTCTCCTGATTGTCATGAAACCCTTAGCTTTTCTGGTAGAAAAGAAAAGGTGCGTGAAATAAAGGCGCTAACAGACACTTGCACGTCACCAGTATCGTTTCTTTTGCCCTCCTTTTTGGCCAACGAACAGCTAAGCACCCTGCAAACTGTATATTCATTTATTTGTTTGACTACTGGAACTGATACACTAGATAAACTGAAACATATTATTCATGAACTAAGGTGTTTCACTGAGCCGTACAAATGCTTATCAGAAATCGTAAAAATGACTGGCCAAAAACTAATTATTATTTGTTCACAATCATTATCAATACATTTTATTCCACTCGTTCATGATCTTTTCCAAGTTATATATATTTATATGCTATATAAGTATGACAGTTATTATGAAAATGAAGATGATAATTACGTTATTGATAAACGGTATTCAAAAGTTCGTGGAAGTTTCATAGAGCAAACTATGCTTATATCTCAGCTGAATGATGATTTAAAGCACATATCTAATATTCCTTTAAGACAACCAGTTATTATCGATCCTTCGCAAACAAACACAAACATAAACTTGGACTTCTACGTGATTCCCAAACAGACTTTTTCGTTAAAGTCATTAACTGGTGAAAAACAAGATTTTTTATGGTTTCAGCTAATTATTAAAGCAATACTGAAATTCGATACTGCAAATCCTCTAAGTAATCTAGCAACGTCATTGAAACTAGACCAGATTCTATCAGATGAAGATAAAGGCAAACTTATGCGGATCAGAGACAACGAATTTCAAGAAAAATACGAATCGGATAAAGCTATTCACTTTTATTTCAGCGATACATTATTAAATAGTGAACTAAACACCTGTTTTTCTAGAAAAAATCTACAAAAAATCTGTAAATTGTGGTTTTTTATTCATGATTTATTAAAGCAGTTGCCAAGTGGTAAGGAACCGATAACGGTGTACAGAGGACAATATATTGCAGCAGATAAACTGAAAGTATTGAAAAATAGTGTTGGAAGTTTTATCACATTTACTGAATGCTTTTCGATGTCTACATCCAATATTCGTGCTATTTGCTGTAGTGGAAATGGTCAGTCCAGTCTGCAACTGGAATTTATAGTGTTTCAGCTTAAGATTAATAATGGCAGTACAAGTACCAGATTCTCAATGATAAAGCAAAGCTATGAAGAACTAATATTTTTATTTGTAGTCGGTAACGTATTTCGCATCGAATCAGTCGAGAAATTTAATGATCAAATATGGTATTGCAAATTATGTATTAATAGTGACGATGAGTCCGAACTAACTCGAATGTTCCAACATTATGAAACAGAAATCGGAACATCATTGACTTATTTATCATTAGGCGTGTATCTCAATGGAATAGGGAGAAAAGATATGGCTGTTCAATATTACGAAAGCTTGCTGAAGGTAGAAACAGATTTTGGTATCATTTCTTCTATTCACAATAACTTAGCAACTATTAATAGAGACGAAAAATATTTCTTAAGTGCGCAAGATTATTGGAACCAAGTGCCGAATGCACAAAAAATTGGTACGTTCAAAACATTTACTCCACAATTCGAGCAAAAATCACAGGTTATTATGGCAGACTTAGTACCTGATACCTCACCAATCATAAATTGCTATAATCTTGCTTATGTTTATCGAGTAACGGGACGCTTTGATGAAGCATTAAATGCATGTGAGCAAGCATTAAGTTTAACAACTGCTGCATCTGATCCCATCAATATTGCAAGAGTTCACAGTGCAAGAGCAAGTGTTTATTTTTCGCAAGAAAAATATGAAGACGCTTTAAAATCTTATAGAATGGCGTTGGACATCGCTTTAGTTCATCTTTCAACTGCAGATCCTCTAATTGATCAATATTTAAATAATGTACGCTTACTGAACAATAAGATTAACGAAAAACAATCTTAATGCGTTCAGTGTATCTTAATATAAACAGAATATTATAACAAAGTAAAATCATTGACGTCGATCTTGTATTCAAATTTTAATGAATTATTCTAATGTATTTTTTTCTACTTTTTTCCGAATTTTGAATCACATTGCTGATTAGGTTTTTAAAAAGAGTCTTCAGAAACGTTAACATTAATGAGTTTATTAATTTATTTAAAAATCCTCTTTTCTAGAAGTCACATTTTTTTTTGATAAATTGTTCCTGATTGATGGCGAATACAGAAAATCACGAAACACAACCGATTCTAGGGTATGATAAATCAATATTGTTTATTTAATTAACTAACAAAATTGTTTCATCTAAATTTAAGGTCAACAGTTGCAAGCGATGATATATCATTACAATCATCAAAAATACAAAATTATATTGGAGTATGGCTTGACGATAATTGCAATGAAAACACTTATATTTTCATCAAAAAAGCACTTCATGATATTTTCGAATCGTTTGAATCAATCAGCGATTGGAGTAAATGCATTCCGTATATTAATGAACCTCGGCCTGGAAAAATAATTTTAATTATTTCACATAAAATCGGACAAAATCTAATACCACTTTTGCTTTGTACAGATACTTCATCAGTTGAATATATTTATGTTCACTGTACTAACGAAAATGAACAAAACAATTGGAATTCCAACAGATCTGCTAAACTTCAAGGTGGATTTATCACGATTGAGTCTTTGACACAGCAGATTAAGAGTGACATTTCAGTGTTCGACAAACACACTAACGCGACTGTACTCCCAGCTATAACACCAGTACTACCTCCAGCAGTCACAACAAGTATATTTGATGAGTTTAATACCATAACGACATCAAATAATGATCAAACTCATCCCTGTTCTGTTTTCGCTGTGCCAGCACCAGCAACATGTTTTTTCGATGGAAAAATCAAAAATATAGCATTAAAAGATCTGAGTGAAGATTCTGTTTGGTTCATTCAATTCCAGTTATTAGTTGAAATACTTATACGTATGGAAAAATCAGAAAAAGCAAAAGAAGATATTATATCCATTTGTCGAGCTTACTATGAGGATGACAAAAGTCAGCAATGCAACTTAAATAAGTTTGAAAACGAAGTACACGATATTTCAAAAGCTATTTATTGGTATACAGCCGCAACCTTTCTTGTTCATCTATTAAATAAAGTGTGTGGTACAGAAGATGTTGATCATATCTATCGCTTTCGATTATTTATTAGTAATTTGCATCATCAAATCACTCTGATGGAACACAATGAATTAACAACTAATGTCAAGAAAAAGAAGCCTCCGCTATATAGAGGAAAAGTTATGACTATCAGTACTTTCGAGAATTTCAGAAAAAATATTAATGGTCTAGTGGCTATGAAGGGATTTTTATCGACAACTACTGATAGAAAAGTTGCCGAAATGTTTGCCGGCGATGGAACCGTTCCAGCAGGATCTGTTTCCGTTATGTTTAAGTTAAACATTGATAATTGGAAGGTGTGCAAACCGTCCGCTGCCATAAATCACAATGATAGTGCTATAAAAGATGAAGAGGAAGTCTTATTTTCAATCGGAAGTATTTGGAAAATAAATAGTGTGGCTAACAAACCAGGTAAAGCGTTTCGGAGCAGCAGTAATTAGTTATGAATAAAATAGTAGTTTTCTCGACTCCTCAGAGTTTTAAAACTAGCACTTAAAACATTGTCTTTGTTTGAAGTTAGAGGAAATCAAAGCGAATTTTTGCAACTCAAATTTAATGCTGCTTTGGTTCTTATACAGTCTTTGTAGTTTCGCCAACATTAGCTTCTCTATTAGCGGAATTACTTGGCAAACAGAATAATTGATCTTAAGATTCGCCCCTTCGCATACATTATCGAAACACTTTATTTAAATAAGTTCATTTAATATTAATGGTACAAAAATAAATTTATTCTGTGCATCTTTTTAGAAAATGGAATGTGGTGTATTGAATTAACATCTTGTCCCGAAGAAAACAAACGCTCTATCGAATTAACAAACTATTTGAAAGAACAATTGGGTGAGACAAGTGATCTATGGACATTGGGTGACTTTTTAATGAAAATGGGTGAATATAACAAGGCTGAAAAATACTATCACATATTAAAGTCGGATCTTAAGCTTCCTAAACGGCATGCAGATCGCGCAAAAATATATAGCTATCTCGGTATTATCCATCGAGAACTTAATAATATACCTATAGCAATTGACTATTTTAAACAAGCAATAGAAGCGGCTCCACGAGATAGAGGCATAAAATCAACGGTTAAATATAATGAAAAACTAGCTCAGGAGGAGTTTAGACAAGCACCTAAAGTGTTCTTGGGAAAACGTCTAGCGTCTAGCGATGTGTTAAGTAAATCTCTATTTACAAACGAGATTTCTACACCAATTTTAAAGAATAATTTGGGGCGTGCCGCTTATCAACAAAAGAAGTATAATGAAGCGATTACACTTTATGAAGAGGCTATTTGTATTATGTTGTCATCGGAACTGTCATATCTTCATGAAATCTCCTGCGTCTACAATAATCTTGGAGCAGTTAAATATGATCAGGAAGATTATTCTACAGCAAAGGACTATTTTGAAAAAGCCATATTTACGATTCAACAATTGAATTTGAAGCATCCATGGATATCTGATTATATAGAAAACTTGGCGTGTGCTCAGGAAAAAATTAGCAAAAGACAGCGAGTTAAATAATATGTCATTTATTTTTCATCAGGCTTGTAGGTGAAGTAACGAATTTAGTTATAAGTATTTTTTGTGTCATGCATCTTTTTATTGTTGTTTCAATTTTTTTATGTATTGCGTATATGCGAAGAAAAAGAAAACGAGAAATTATCTCAATCAAAAACAAATTGTCTTTTTCATTATTTGTATATATATATATTTTATTATTCTTCAAGCAATTACCAAGTCAAAGTGGGATCGAGCTAATTGAAAATGTATGTGGCTGTAGATATGAGATGAATGCAATATTCACAACCATATCTTCAAGATATTATTCCTCTTCCAATAACCATGCGTCGATTCTTAGTTAATACTGCAGTCGCTGAACTTATGGACGATATATTTGTTAAATAATGAATAACATCAATCAAATATTCATCTTATTATGTTCATATCTTTATATTCAATACTTTAACATTCTCTATATCATCACTCTTTTACATGGCCTCCAATGTGGTCTTACAAATGTTCCTACGTGGATTTTTCATAAATTAGTTCGAATTAAAACAAAACTAAATGAAGTCGAAAGATATGATTAAATATAATTCAAGCTGAATGTTCTTCAAACTGAAAAACTACTAAGATTGTTAACAAAGATGTTGATAAATCTGTTTTTAATATTGAGATCGTATTGTGAACTGATGATTTTGAAAAAAGATGTTATTTAGAGTTTATTGTATTTTGCGTATGATACCATTCATTACCAAGTTCATAAAATTGAACATAGACCCAGACCGGTTGTTTTTAATTGTGGAGCTTTTCGACTAACTAATACTTGCACATCATCCGGCATCTTATTAAATTGAAGTTTAACAGTCGTTAAAGTTCGATTAGTTGCTAATGTATCAATCAATGCCAATGCACCTTTTTCAGTAATTTGATTCCATTTAACATCTAATTCAGTCAATGTATTATTAAATTTGAGTGCATTTGCGATTACAGTAATATCATTATCGCCGATATTATTATCACTGATATCAATCAATGTCAAAGTTTGATTTACTCGTAACATTTGTCCAACTAGTTGAACTCCATTGGAAGACATATTTGTTTGGCATATGTCGAGCTGACGTAATGTTTGATTTGTCAATAAAGCATCGCAAATGAATTTGATTCCATCATCATAAAGTTTATTTCGACAAATGTTTAGATATGTTAATGTTTTATTTGATTTTAACATTTGACCAATTGTTTTACATCCTGTAGATGTTATGGCATTTCGACTCAGACTTAATTTTTGTACAGTATGATTCATCATTAATGCATTAGCAGTCAAACTACATTCAGCATTGTTCATACCGAGTGAAATATCAAGACTTGTTAGTTTTGTGTTAGCTTTTAGAACTTCGACAAGAATTTCAATAACATGTCCACAACCAGATATAATTTTTAACTCCTTGATAGTTTTATTTTGCTTTAAAGAAGAGACAATTAATTTCATGTCAGTAGGAGATATCTTACTATTATCTATTTCTAACGTAGCATTTGACAATAAATGAGATAATAATATGGATTTTATTTTATAATTATCTTTAATTGTTATAGTAATATTAGAGGGTGAGATTATTGGTGATGCTGTGCTAGGTATTGTTTGTTGATATTGTCGTTCTGATAATTGAAGATGGGAACTCATATCCGTTGTTCTATTCTGAACTAAAGTCGTTGAATTCGTAGCTGGTAAGAGTTCTCTTGATAATTTAGATTTAAGTGAAATAATATTTGAATTTTCAAGTAGAAGTTCGTTGACTATTGTATCTTGTTCATCAAGTATATGTATTGGTGCGCCATTAGAATGAATAAACTGTTCATTTTCTGATAGATCAGATAATCGTTCAGTTAATAGTACGCGTAAATGTGTGACTGTCCATGAACAATCGATCCCTAATGTTAGTTCATTTATACCATTTCGATTTATAATATATTTAGGTAATATCGGTGTTGTCTTCCAAAAATAGCTTACAATACCCATAAAGTCCATTATGATGATGACACTATCAATGAATAATACAGTTAAAACACGAAAATATATTTATCTATTGGGATATTATTATCGTTCGCTGAGAACAAAACGAAATTTATTCGTTCGTAATATACCAATAAGCAAATCAGCTTACAGAACACGAAAAATATATACAGATGTCGGCTACATATGAGGGTGTGAGTAGGGAGCTGCGGGTTTCGCTCTTGGAGAGACGAGATTAAGACGCTTCGAACTATATATTATAGTATTATTTGACCTAATTTTTGTAAAGACCTAAATCATTACTTTTGCAAATGTATGCAAGGTCCAAACTTTTATATTTATTGGGATTTTACTCGAAATGCTGAATCGATGCGTCTGCAACTCTCTATCCAAAGCTATTCAAAATTATTATTTTGACATCATCCATGTTAATTTGTTGAAACTCTGTCCTCCCCTAGAGATGGAGAAATTTTTAGCTGAGAATGCTGAAAACTAAACCTATATCATGCATATAAAGAAAGATAGAACGATCGTGCGAAGAAAAAAATAAAAAGAAGAAAAACTTCAGATTTCTTTCTATTCTCTGCTGCCTTTGCATTGATAACTGTTTTATATTATTTCATACAAATCATTAAAAAAAGAAGCGATTCAATCTGAAATATTATCCTATGGAATGTTACGTATTAAAAATTTTCCTCTTGCATTTTTCCAAGTAATCAGGCTAATTTTCAGTTAATTGTGGATTAGATATTGACATTAAAAGTCGAAGTCAGTTTTATGTACCAACAACTATCTCTATATTACTTGGATATATAACTATATCGAATGGTAAATTTAAATGGAATCAAACATGGTATCGTCATTGCTAACATTAATTAAATTTAAATTCGTAATTATTTAACTAAACTTAAAACATTTCAAATTCAAATGTAAGAAAATTGTAAACAATTGAACAGAAATGTATCAACTATATCAGAACGAGTCGATAATAAGACATTTTTTGATCAATCAATGTCATCAAATATTAATCTTCAAAGTTACAAATGTATCAGTTCGTTGTCTTAATTTTTAAGATAATATTAATTTTTTCAATGATGAGAAATGTATAATATTGAGTTGTGGGTCTTTAGGATATCTGTTAAGAATCATAATAGTATTATTTATTTTGTTACAAATATGATCAATCAAGACTAACACGAAAAAACGATGTACATATATTATTTTTGTTATTTCTAAATGTTTTTATATTAGTTTCTGTTGTATTATTATTTGTTTATGTATATGTATTTTTTCAAAATAAGTGTAAAACTCAATTAGAAAATAGTTGACAACGTCCAAACAAATATTACTAATTGTTAGAATCAGAAAAAAAAAGTTACTAATATCTACAGAAGAAAATTAAAACATAGACAAGAAAAAAAAGTAACTTGATTATTTATGAGCCTTTTCCAAGTTATACCTTAATTTTTATCATGGAAGACAGAAGGATGTCAACGTTTAAGTAATACCTGTTTTATTACCAAATAAATTATTATTAGAAGAATATTATTCTAATAGATAAAATAGAATTTGAAGAAAATGCATGGTTTTCAGAGAGTTAACTAATTTTTCTTTAGAGACAATCTTTTTAGTAATCACCATTATTAGAAAGGTGGTCTATTTTTTAAATTTCCATTATCTTTACGTTAAACTAAAATCTGATAATACAAGTTTATGTAGATTTTGTTTAAAACAAACACATATTATTCATTTTTTGAGGATCATAAATAATGTATGTGAACATGGCTTTTTTTTCCTCGATTCTGTTCCTACAAAATCTTTTTTTTATTTAATGAACATACTTCATATACTGAAATTGTTGACAATACATTTAATTTATTTTGTTTTGTTGTAAACGTCGATTTTTCATAACGTTTCACTGAAAATAACTAAGAGCACTATTTTAAATTATTTTCCTACCTGTTGTTTAAAGATGACAGTATTTTTTCTTTTTTTTTACTCATTTCCCAATAAACAATTCTTTCGGTGAGAGATAAGTGATATACAGTTTTTTAATTTGTTTTTCTTGAATAGAAAATATTCAAAATTACAGCTGAATACTCTTTTTTTTCAATTTTTCATAGAGAATATGCTACCGAAGTGTTGTTTGTATTGATAGCATATTGATTTTAAGGGTCCTATTCGTACACCATCGTTAACAAGTTTTACTCTTTTTTTCTTAATTCGAATTTATTCGTAGAAAACATATGACTAATATTGACTGTTAATATTTATTCAATGTTTAGTAAAAACATGCAATACTTTAGTTAATTAAAACGTTGAAAATACAATAATTTACTTTTATATTTTTTTTACCATTCTCATCCATTCTTGATGAATCAGAGTGTATATGATCGTATGTTATAGAATTTGTGTGTTGGAAAACTGAATCAAAATTTTTTTAGTCTAGAATACAAGATTTTTTATATAATTCATAATAATTCCTGTCAGAGTAAACTAAGGTAACATTTATTTCATATTTACCGATTGAATATTAAATAAATCTTCTAAAGGATGTTTTTGTATACATACACAAATATAAAATTTATTCATTGTTTTGAGAATTTATTTTTCTTTTACTAGAGGCAATTTAGACAAGTATGTTAGTGTATTCTTGTCATTACTATGAGTAACTATTTTATTTTTTCCTCTCATTTTATTTTAGAAAAAGAATAGTAATCTATGATTTTTTCTAGAATATTATTTAATGGAACATGATTGACATCGAAAGATTAGATCCTTCATCGTATAATCCAGATCAAACTTTCTCAATATCTGATGATCAGTGGATTTCTGTAACAAATAATGGATTGTAAGTATTATATTTCACTAAGTAATAAACAATCTCAAAGACAATTTTACTAACTAGCTCTTTTTAAAAGGAGTAAACGCGTTACAATTTTGATTCGTATCTGTGTAGCAACTGGTATAGTTGTGTTCCTCATCTCACTACTTGTTCCGATATTTTGTTTCAATGGCAAATCAAGGTCCACTACTACTACTACTACTACCACTAGTACAACAGCAACAACAGTTACTACAACGTCTACGACATCGACGTCCTCAACTTCGACTTCAACAACATCAACTTCAACAACAACCACAACAACAACCAGTGAGTTAGCAAAATAGTTTAAAATTTTTATAGACTGTCTTGGGAGAGGTAAAAGTGTAGATGATATGTCAATCTTTCATTTATACCCTCACCCATACCATCGCCTCACCTCTTCCAGATGAAAAATTGACATTATCATTCACACGTTCATCAGAATGTTTTAATAAATATGTCTATAATTTTAGCAACAGTAAGCTGTGCACCTGGTTATTCTGCAACACCAGCCGCAAAATGTGTCGATACATTGAGTAATTTTTATAGTTGTGGATCCATTGCTTATGTTTGTTCATCAAATTATACAATCTGTTCAGCTGGTGTATGTAAGATAGCACCTGATATACAACTTAGTAAACCAACTGCTATACCTGAATGGGCTGGTATGCCAATCGATGATTCTATACAGCAAGTTACTCTTTCAGTCAATATTACACTCTATAATTATAGTACTAATATTGTTACTGTATCAAGTAATGGGGTAAGTCATTTTTTCGAACATAGTTTCATAGGAAATTAAATGTATTTTAGGTTCTCTGTCTTAGTAGTTGTAGTTCTGCTTATTCAAATGAAGATCTTCCAACGGGAAGCGTTGGAGGTCCAACAGCCTTTGGTTTCTGGGATGATCTGAAGATTTATAGTGGTACTGCTCAAGCAGTTTATTATGGAACCAGTGGAACAGCACCTAATCGAATAACAATTTTTGAATATTATACCAGTAATTATGCTTCACCAATAAATTATTATCATTTTCAGATAATATTTTATGAAAATTTACCAAATATTGTTAAATATGTTTATTTCGAAATATTCGACGGAGGTGCTTCAGCAACTATTGGTGTACAACGTAAGTTACTTTTTATTGTTTTTTTTCGTTCTAATTAAGACATAAACTATTGTAAAACGCGATCTAAATAATCTGAGTACCATTCACAAATTATCGTACATTTATCGAGAGTTTTAAAAACTTTAGGGGATAATTTATTACATTCAGCACATTATGTCAAACGTTATTAATTGACATTAACTGATGTTGTGGCAGTCATTTCATATTTTACATTGTAATCTTACAGGGATTGTACTAATATTTTGTTTTTTGTTTAATAATAGAATCATCATCAGGACCAAGTATAACCTATTCAGTAAATCAAGCATATGCAGTGGCTTATAATACAACACTTTTATTCAATACAAATAATGGTACTATGATTCGCTTAAATTGATACATACATATGGAACTCAAGCAAAACAATAATCTTTTAGAATTAATGTTGTTTTAAATTTGTTCGTGGCTTTATTCTTTATCTTTTTTTTTCTTCTTTATTATAAACAATAAAAATAAACATATGTATATAGAATTATCATCAATATTCACACTTTACATTTTACTATATAACGAGGGTGTATGTGAAGAAAGAATAGTACAACTTCATCTTTACCCACACTCATCCCATCTCCAATTATTTTGATTATTGACATGATATTTTTCATAAAGAAAAATAAATAGAAAGTAAATGTGTTTCGTCTGAACACTGGAAATTTCTATTGATATTTTTTATTTTTCCTTTGTTCAAAAGTGTACAAATAGAAATAAGAAATATTTCTTCTTTATTACTTAACTAATAAATATTTTAGAATAAAATCAAATAATTTATTTTCTGTGCATCGCAAAAGACGAACTATACTCATGTGATACTTAGATTAAATTGAAATAAAATCGAATAATTTATTTCTTTTGATATTTTTGCTAATAAATATTATTGAATTAAATATCAAAATTACAAAGTCGTATGATAAAAAATATAAGAAAATTACAGTAGTCGATATAAAACTGCTAGATAGTGATTTAGTTTATTATATATCCTATAAAAATATATTTAAAGAAAATGATAACAGATATAAAAACAATTTTGTTTAATTTAAAATTTTTTGAATAACTTTTCGAAACTATTTGATAAAGAGTTATTAAGATTAGATAGTCTATGATATTGGAGAAATGAAGTAGAAAATTCACATGTAAAAAATGAATAATACCTTAGATGGTCAGATTTATAAATGACTGAGCGATGGATTGTATTTTTACAATATATTAGTGGTCATAATTATATTTAAGAGTTTGCATTAAAATTTTTAAAAGTACGACGGATAGATAGATTATCTTATGTTTTCATTTCATTTGT